AACCTTTTGAAGAACAGTTTTCAGATATTGCATTACAGTAAGTCTAGCTTTCTTTGAATTTTGCTTTTTATTCATAATACTTTCTAAATACCTTCTAATTGAACATCAAACATTAAGCAACACTAATTCAACCAGACCGTTTGAAGAACAGTTTTCAGATATTGCAGTACAGTAAGTCTATTGTGAAGTTTGGTTTTGTTTTTTTTTTTTTAATTATAACACTTTCAAATACTCTTCTAAATACCTTCTTACCCAAATATCAAATATAAGAGACGATAATTCATTTAGACCGTTTGATTTAGATATTGCATTATGGTAATTCTAGCTTTCTTTGAATTTTGTCTTTTATTCATAATGCTTTCAAATACTTTTCTAATACCTTCTAATTAAACATCAAACATTAAGCGACGCTAATTCAACCAGACCGTTTGAAGAACAGTTTCCAGATATTGCAGTATGGTAAGTTTACTTTGAATTTTGTTTTTTTTTCATTTCACTTTCAAATACTCTTCTAAATACCTTCTTACCAAATATCAAATATAAGCGATGATAGTTCATCCAGACCGTTTGATTTAGTTATTGCAGTAGGGTAAGTTTAGCCTTTGAATTTTGTTTTTTATTTATAACACTTTTAAATACTCTTCTAAATACTTTCTAATTAAACATCAAATCTTAAGTAATGATAATTCAACCGAACCGTTTGATTCAGATATTTCAGTACGGTAAGTCTAGTCTTTTTTTGAATTTTGTTTTTTATTATAATGCTTTTAATACTCTTCTAAATACCTTTTATTGACCTTCAAATAATAAGTGACAATAGTTCAACTGAAACAATGGATGCATCATCAGTTGGACAAACATTTTGCAGTTGGGATGATCTTGACCACTTTATATCATTTTACGCAAAATTACAAAATTTTGTGAGTGTCATACGTGGGTCAGAATACAGTAACGGGATTTGTAGAAACTGCCAGTACACTTGTGAATATCAAGGTCGCAGTGGTATGAACAAGACCAGTATTGCTGAAAATCAACAGCAGACGCGTAGTAAACGTATTGGTTGTCAGTGGGAAGTCTGAGCTAGTTGTCTCAAGACAACGGGCATATTAAGAATTAATTCTGTTTGCTTGAATCACAATAATCATCCAATAAAAGATGAAACTAATAAGTTTGCTCTTAAATACCAGATATTTTCAGAAGATATGTTAAAAGATATTAAATTTTGGACTGAAGTTGGAAATATCAATATGAGAACACAATATCAAATGCTAGTAAAACAAAATCCAGATGTTTTCTTTTTGCCTCAAGACCTTTCAAATGCCATCCAAAATTTTAAACGGCAAAATCACGTTGATGTAAGGCAGCTACTTTACTTAATAACCTTCTAGAACGTAAAGCTGAAGATAATAGATAGATTGTAAATTAGAGGATTGATTCTGCCAATAATTCTCTTACTTCATTATTTTGGATGTCGCCTGAACAATACGAATTGTATATATGTTATCGGGATGTTCTTCAACATGACAATATATATTCAACCAACCGTTTTAAAATGGCACTCGGTTTTTTTGTAGTAGTGGATAATAATAATAGGTTTCGTTTGGTAGAACAAGCCCTGATGAATGACGAAACGGCTGAAAGCTATGAATGGGTCCTACAAGCTTTAATTACAGGTACTAATGTCACACCCTTAACAATAATAACAGATAACGATCTTGCTGTTAATGCTGCAATTGCCAACGTCCTGCCTAATACGTATCACGTTCATTGTATATTCCATGTAGGATAAAACTTAATAAAAAATTTGAAAGGCAAAATAGGTGACAGATACAATGAATTTTCCAACAACTGGTATCAAATGCGTAATTAACTTTCATTTCAACAATTTGATTCGTTGTGGAATAAGCTTTTGATAAAATTCCCTAATGCTGCATCATATCTTAATTGTGCTCTTTTAAATGAAAAAAAACATTGGGCTTTATATTATGTTTTCAAAATTTTCACTGCTGGAATGCAGTCAACACAGCGGATTGAAGGCCAAAATGCCATCATAAAAAATTCTGTGAATAGTAGTACGTCTTTAATTAGTCTCACAAAACACATTGATGAACAAATTAGCTATACATCCACTTTAGTTAGATATAAAAACTGGATTCATTCTGTTACTGAGTCTACGCTTACTCAGGCTAGTTTTGAATTTTCACCTGACATCAACAAGTGGATTATCTCTTATTTAACACCAACTTCGTTATCTATGCAGTGGCAAGAGATTTCCCAAGCCATGTGGTATACATCACGCCTTATTGATAATTTTCAAGAATTGAAGTTACAATTTGAGTTAACCGAACAGTCAGAATTACTTGACCAATTTGACCATGTTGAATATGTTAAACAATCAGAACAGTCTAATTCAAATAAGATTTACAATACATTTGTTGAAAATTCTGTAAATGCACCTGCCATTTTAATTAAAGAATTAATACCACCTACAAAAGTTGAATCAATCTGTGAAATTTGGGAGGTTACACAGCATAGGCGCAAAGTAAAAAACTATGTTATATTATTTAAGGATAACTCTCATTTATGTACATGTCTTGGCCTAATTCAGTGTGGTTTTGTTTGTAGACATTTTTTTCAAGTTATGGCTGTGTCCAATTATGGCGCATTTTATATTATGCTTATATCAAGAAGGTGGTATATTGACGAAAAACAAATTGAGCCGGAATCACAAACAAATCAGCAACCTTTCATTATTGGATTAGATAATATGACAGCTTCAATTAATGTTGAACAAACTTTTCTAAATTTGTCTTTTCGGTTGCCAGATATCTCTTTTAGTGACGTACATGCTAAAGTTAATTACCGTCAAGCCTATGTTACGATTAACAGATTATCAAAAAAAGCTATTCAAATTGGACTTGATGCTGGTCCTAATGCACTACAAGAGCTTGAAAATTGTATGAATAGTTTTATCAGTAAGTACATACCAAAAGAAAAGATGGCCTGTAAAAGGAATAAAAGTCAGCAGAAAGACGAAGATGAAATATCAAATTCAAGTTCCAGTGACAAAGAAAATTTTGTTGCAATTGAAAATCCAATCGTGCATTCAAGAAAGGGTGCTCCAAGAAAAAAACGTTTCAAAAGTTTTAGTGAATTAGGGAATAAAAGCAAGTCTAGTATTAAACAACATTTAGAAGTACAGAAAACTAGAAAGCCAACTCAGTGTCAACAATGCCAAAACATAGGACATAACAAAGCTGGTTGTGAAGCATGGCATAAGCGACAGGGTATTGCTTACACATATTGAAAACTTATTCATATAGGTATGTATATATTACCGCTACTGTGCTCATATTGTCACGATTATTTAGTGAGTTTATACGAACTTTTAATGTATTACCTGCAATTATCATATACACTTTATTGCATATAGTTTGAATACATAGTAGCTCATAGCAAATAAAGGTGTTAAATATTTTGCACATATCTTAGATTAAGTTCTACAAAATGCAATCTTAACACTGTAATAAGTAACCTATTGTATTTAGTTAAAGTCATTGTACCATTCAAATTAATAATAGTGAAAATAAGTTGATTTGCATCTCTGCCGGAAACTAATTGGATATCATGTTACGTTATATAAAATGCATAAATTTATTGTTTGACTAGATAATATATTGAGCAAAATAGATTGTTATGTTTTTCAAAAGCACCTAAAGTAATAGTTCGATTATATAGTTTGATTCTTTAGTTTGGTTAGGATAAGGTTAGTTCGGGTTAGGGTAAGATTAGTTCGGTTAGGGTAAGGGTTAGTTCAGTTAGGGTAAGTGTTAGTTCAGTTGGTAAGTGTTAGTTCGGGTTATATGTTGTAATTGTTAGTTCAGGTTATAGTGAATTTTTTAGTGTTTTATCGAGTAGTCACGTGA